GGTGGTAATTTGTTACGTAGCAACTGATAGCTAATACATGTCCCTAGTCCAAAGGGCAAGCTCCCGAACATAGCACAGAAGGCCTTTCATGCCCACCTTTCCAGTTGCACTTCTCATGACCCCCAGATTCACAGTTTTCTTGAGCAGTACTGGCCTGCTTATCCCCAGTTCACACCTCCATGCCTCTGTGCCTTTGCCCAAGCCATTCCCCACCGATGCCCTTTCCCCACTGATGGCATCCCCTTCTGCAGAAATCCTCCCTCAACGGCCCCCACACCAAATCATGTTTGCTTGGTCCCCCTCCTAGGTGCTCACACACTTCTTGAAATCAGTAAGTGAACAGTGAGCTACATGTAGAAAAGGAAACAACTGCCCAACCAGTGTGGCTCAGTGGTTGAGTGTCGATGCAGGGCACATGCCTGGGTTGCAGGCTCAATCCCCAGTGTGGGGTGTGCAGGAGGCAGCTCGTTAATGATTCTCTCTCATCATTGATGTTTCTATCTCTCCCTCTCTTCCACCCTCTGAAAACATATTAAAAAGAAAACATCCACATGAAGGAGTCCTCAAGAACACGACTTGCCTCTACGTGGTTGATCAACGAATTGTCGAATTTGAACCCAGGAATCCTTTTCTCACTGCACACCACACCCACGTCTTCTGTGTGCTTGCAGTCGGTGACACCCCAGCCATTGGAGGAGCAGGCTGCGAGGGTTGCCTCTTTGCCGGTGCAGTAGACATTGTCCAACCAGATGGGCCCTGAAGGAAGCAGAGAAGGGAAACACCAATCGTGATGTCAGAGTAGGTTTGAATTTGGGGGGGGGCACCAAAGTTGTACACAGAAAGAGAATTTTTCTCTAATCTTGGCAGCTGTGTGTGGTCATCAATTGATGTTTAGCATGTTAAGATATTGCACATAGTTCACCATCTGGATTCCCTTGCCAGAGGGACGTGGTATATTGAACATGATCAGGGTAGAAATCAGCGTTGAGACCGGATGTGACATGGTGTAGGGCAGTGGTCGTCAAACTAATTAGTCAACAGAGCCAAATGTCAACAGTACAACGATTGAAATTTCTTTTGAGAGCAAAATTTTTTAAACTTAAACTATACAGGTAGGTACATTGTTACTAACTTAATTAGGGTACTCCTAAGCTGGC